TGTTTTGAGCTGCAATAAGTTTTTTTCAGTAGAATGTGTAGATTACTTAAGCTATACTTGGTAGAACTTTCCTTATTATGTCCTATGTTTTTCTAGTAATGTTTTTATTATGCTTGAATACATTTTCTTATTTTACTGTGTAACACTTTTAGAAGCCACTTCTGTAGGGTAGGCAGTTGCAAAAGCTGTCATACCTGAATTATAGTATGTTGCCTTTTAAAAGCACATTTGCCATTATAATTTATTCAGTACATGTGACATTGCAATAGCTGCAACAAGTCTGGTTACAATAGATGAGAAGGCTGTCTAGCAATGACTTGGGTGTATCTGAAGGTTTATAGGAAATCTGAAGGGTTATAGGAGAACTGAAGTTGTAACTTTTGGAGGTTTCCCTTTGAATCAAGGAATAAAACTGAAGGAAATAACACTGCTTGAGGAATAGAGTCATACTTAGGCAGGAAATATGAATTACTCTTAAAGTAAACTTGTCAGTTAGAGGGTCTATTTTATGTTGATGAAACTGAAAATCATGAACTTGAGCCTTCACCCAGAACAAAATATAAACAGCATATGAATGCTTCCTGCTGCTGTTAGTGAGTGTGGTTAATTTTACTTTTCTGCTGGGATTTGCAAAAATGTGCAATTTCTCATTTGCTCTTCAAGGAACATCTCTTACAGCTTCCATATTTTAACTTGAGTTTAGTTTGTAAGCACTCTCTTCGATACCAGTCAAACTTGTATTGGATTTTGGGATGTCTTTTTACCTCTTTTACAATGGTCAGATTTTTTTTCTGGTGGTTCTTGCTTCAGGTTGGTCTTTGTTTATGAGTTGACTGAATTTTGGTGAAAGTTACAGTACTAAAGGCTTTCTGAAAAGGAAGGAAGGTGGCATGTACCTGACTCTGGAACTTCTCCAGGGCTCCACAAGTCCTGTCCCCTCCAGACAGGCAGAATTTTCCTCTCTAGCTATTACACTGCCTAACCTTGGACTTTGGGATGTTGATCTTTGTAGAGGTATAGTTGTTAGGGAGTTTTGGGATCAAGACTCCTTTTCAAGTCTAGGTGTGGTGGTTTTTTTACTGTCTACTTGTTTTTGAAGTAACTACATTGACAAATGATTTTTTTTTTTTGTTTCTCACAGAATTTTTAGGTAACTTATCTATTGCTTTCTTGGTTTCAACTTTGTAGTCTTAAAAGGACTTCTCCTTCCTGAGTAATTATGTTGGCTAAGATAATCCCTAGATGTGTTTTTGTTAGAGCTTATTCTTTTAACCTCCCTATTTAGAGTTATTTTTCTAACCTTTTCTTTGTATACTTAATGACCAGGGCAACAGAAGAGAGATTAGCTGCCATGACAAGGAACAGAAAAATCCTCTTTTTACTAGAGTTGTTCTGTTTTTGTCTTTCTTCAATTTAGGACACGGTTGTTTTTCATGAAGAAGCACTTCCATATTAGGCCAGTTTCAAAACGAAGATCCTTTAAACTAAAGAAAGATATTTGATGTTGTTATTTACCTCCTCTTTAGTAAATGCATTCATTCTTGGAAATACGATGGCCTCTTTCTAGCTATGTGTACTCTTAACTTTAGTGCTGGGACCATGTGGTGCCAGAGAACCTTGTTGAGGAAGCCATCGTGATTATTTTCACAGATCTGGGAGTAGCGTAGGTAGGATAGAACAGAAGAGGGGCTTTTCACTTGGGAGAAGTTCTCGTGGGTGTAGAACCTCTCCCCCTGAGCAATAACTGTACTGGTTACTGACTGCAAGCTGCTCACAAGTTTGAGTGCTGACAGTCCCTTTTTAAAAAAGGACGCTAGTCAAATCCATCTGTCCGTGTAAACGAGATCCGCTATCACCCTCTCCTCCCGGGAAATCCCGTGTTGCGGGCCTGGATCCGTGCTTCCCGGGCCGCTGTGGGCGCGGGGGCTGCTGCGCCCTCTGCGGGCGCCGGGGCCGAACGGCAGGAGCGGCTCCGGGTCTCTCACGCTGCTGCCGGCGCTGCTCGTCCGGGTGCCGAGGCACCAGTGTCCGTCCCGTGTTTAAATCGCAGTGCTCTCTTAGAGTTCCTTGTAGTGCTTAGTTTGGGGTGAGATGTAACACCTTGAAGCTTTTCTGTTTATCATTTGGCATCTTCCTTCTCTCCTTTACTTCTGACCACGTATTAACCATTGTTAAGAGCAATTCAGATTTTCCTTGACAGCACCTCCAACTGCACAAGTGTTCTCATCCTTCAATATTTTACAGCCTTTGCTGACAACTAGCAGTAAAGATAGGAACAAGTTTGTACAAACAAAACTGCTCTGAGTTTGCAGATCTGAGAAGATGCAAAATGGGCTCAAGCCTGTACATGCAACATATGTGCATGTATGCATTCTGTTCCTCTTCAGAAATGCCATCACCCTACAACAACAATTTGTTTTTAAAACAAATGTCCATATCTGACATTTGGAGTCACCAAGGACAATCTTATCATCAATCACTAGAAAGCTGAAGAGTGTTAGCATTTACCTTAACTCTCACGTGAAGAGAGACAATCTTTACAGGGTGGGATGTAGAATATATTTTTTTGCTGAATTTTTAGTATACTTTTTCCAAGTTCACAAAAGATATGCTGGGGATGTCAGCTGATAATAGGTACTTGAAGTCTGGAGGGAAAAGGTGAGGTGGGCAAACATCAATTCTTTCCTGATGTTTCAGCTGTGAGACTACTTTAATCTGGAAAGGCTTACAGACACAAGTGGATAAGAATATTATTTTGCTTGTTTTCTTACTGTTTAGTTCCTGCTTTTCAGTTTACCCCTTAATAAACATGGTATGGGAATGAATGAGATAATCCATCTTTGGCTGCACATTGTAGAATTTTCCAGCTTCATGGTAGTATTGCCAATGTGGGAAGGTTTCAGAGTTCCTGCTTGGACTGTGGAATATGCGGCAGATATTTCTACATTTGCATACATTTACAGCATACAGTTCTGTGTTTATTAAACATTTTTACTGCTGCTGATCCGTAATGTTTCAGAAGTTCTGTAATAGCCCTTGCCCAACAGGCTGCTCTTTTCAGTTCTCATATGTTTCATAAATTTCTCCCATATTTCTCATGGATGTGCATGTTTGTGCATATATATTTTTTTATATCTGAATTTATGCCATTCACATGGGGAAGAGGAGTTGAAAATGCTTGTGCAGTTCGTATGGGCTAAATGGAACTATTTTAGGAATCAAAAGGCTTTAGAAAGCTAATGTCTGACAATCAAAAAAAGTTTTGAAGTAATAGATAAATGAGAGAGGATTTGCATCTAATCTGTATTTGGATACTATGGCTCTATGGCTGGCTTAGAGAAAGCAACTCGTATTGTATCCCAAGTTAGAGGAGAAACTTGAATCCTTTCACATAGTTTTAGATTTCCTTACATCCTAGTAAAAATATTCTAGTAAGGGAAAATTGATAAGTGTTAGCTTTTGCTTGCATATTTCTGGTCTCATACTCTATATCTTATTATAAAGAGTTAATGTTATGGTTTAGCATTGGCTACTTTTCAGTCTCTCCTGCAATTTCTTGAATTATATAACCTCTAGATTTGTTAGAAATGAGGCCTATGCAGGAAGCTCTGCACATAAATTATTCCTTGGACTAAATTTTAAGAATTGGGCTCTTCTGCAGTGCATCACTAACTTGGCCTTCTTCCTCCCTTCTGCTTGAAGTGGTGATGACATATGACCAGCCACATAGAAAAGCTGTTTTTTACTTAGCTGTTATGTCTATCTGTAGCTGGTTTTGTTTGAGCAACTTCATCCTTCAGGAACTGAAGAAAACAAGCTCTCTACTGTGGAAGATTACTTAGTTTTCTGGTGCTGTTTGTACCAAATGTTATTTATCTGATACGAATACTAAGGTCTTCACTCATGGAGACTGCTCATACTGTGATTTTAGGGACTGATACCTATGCAAGGTTTCCACTATTAGTGGGAGGTTGTTTGCCAACCACTATTCCAACTTTTCTAGGCCTGTATGAAATAAAAATAGAATGGGTTTTACAGTTCTGTGGGGGGGTTTTGTGCATGTATTTGGTGAACCTGTTTGTAGTGACTTGTGAAATGCTAGTACAACACTGCTGTCATAAAATCATAGAACAGTTTGGGTTGGAAGGGACCTTAAAGATCATTTAGTCTCAATCTCCATGTTGTAGGCAGGGACACCTTCCACTAGATCAGATTGTTCAAAGCCCCATCCAACCTGGCCTCAAATACTTCCAGGGATGGGGCATTCACAGCTTCACTGGGCAACCTGTTCCAGTGCCTTACCACCCATTATGTTTGACATGATTGCATGAACTTCTTTTATCATGTTTACTAAAAGGCTTCTTGTTAATTACTGAGAATGAAGCAGCTTTATGTAATGCTTCTGTACTTGGAGTGTAACCACCGAGGAATGATTAGTGAGAAGAAAATTGACCCTCAGATGGCTTCTGTTGTTTGATTTGATGAAATAAAGTCAAATTTTTGTTGTCTAATTAAAAGACTTTACTAATACTTAGTCAACAGTTTACTTTCATCCTCAAGCAGTTACATTTAACTGGTGTAGCAGGATTCAAGGATTACTCATCCATAAAGGAGTGATGCACTTTCAAATCTTACATGGTCTTATTTTCAAGTAGACAAAGTTGGTTAAATGTCTTCAGAGTACAGAAGTATGCAGTATGACTTGTGTGGTGCATTCTTGTAATCACTTTAAATCTAAGGCATACTAAAAATGTTGTTAAATCTAGTATACTAGCAACTGAACCTTCAGTTTTTCTAGGATATAATCATGGTGAAAACAAATCTTATAAGAGATTTCTGATAATGTACTTTCTGAGTCTTTTTAGAGAACTTAGATGAATTCTGTGTCGCTCGCATGGGAAAGAGATAGCAAAGAACTCTTGTCTACCCGATTTCCTTCTAGTTTCTGTTCAGAAATTGTTATTTTAGTATTTAAGATGACGTTTTTCCTTTTTCTTCAGTTTCTAAGGGAAGATATGCAGTACAAGGATGCCTCTAATAAACATAGTCACCTGCACAGAGAAGACAAACATATCACCATTGAGGATCTGTGGAAACGCTGGAAAACATCTGAAGGTAGGTAAAGAAGTATAGCTAAAAATTATGGTGGTTACTGACAGAGACATAAGTCAAGAATTTTTCCACCAAGTATAGAGTAGTAAATGAATGACTTGAAGCATTTTCATTAATCCATTTTGATACTTTTATTTATAGGCACATGTAAACCTGACTAAGAACTTATTTAGTACAGCTAGTGTTAATTTTCTCTGCATGTCCTTGGTGCATTGTAAGTAAACTAACATAGCTTACACATTCATCTGTATAAGGTTCTAATTTATCAAGGTGACTGGTGCAAGTGCTGAATTCCAGATTAGCATATTTTTAATTTAATAAACCCTAAGGGTTGCTCTCAAGCTATTTTTAAATATTTATTGCATGTTGTATTGAGTTAAAAGTTCAGTGTACTTCTACTTCAATGTAAATTTTATTTGGGTTATGAAGAGCTAGAATTCTTAGTCTAAAGCATTTTTGAAAATCCTTTTAAACTTGAGGCACAGTAAAATGGACTGACAACACCACCAGCCCTCCCTTATGCTGTTTTAAATGAAATAAGTTGAGCCAAATATTCCAAGTATCAAAAGACAGTATTTAATGTACAGTACAGTGTTCATTGCCAAATATGTTCCAGGATATAGTGATTTAAAAAAAATTCCAGATATCTAGAATGTTAGAACTGTTAGGAGAAAAATACTTAACTTTTTTTTTCCCCCTCACACCATTCTGAAGGTGTTGTGCTGTCCTGGTTCTGGCCAGGACAGGGTTAATTTTTTCCAGTGGCTGGGAGGGTGTGTGGCTAAGGCCCTATGTTGTCCATATGCCCTAACATTGTTGCTGGGGGATGGGAAAGGAACTCTGTCTCTCTTCTGGGGAGAAGGGGTTCCTTCTATGAGAAATGTGGGGGATGGACCCATATTTGTTTATTGTGGGGGGGCTTTCTGTGTAAATAGTTTCTTTTTCTTATACCTTTTGTTATTAATGTTGTTGCTGTTACTGTTAGCTTTCTTATTTCATTGCCTCTTACAGTAAATTGTTCTTATCTCAACCTCTGGCTTTCCTTTTTGTGCCTTCAGTTGGAGCTGTAGGGAAAACCAAGTACTATATATGAGAATACCTACCTAAACTAGGACATATGCTAATGGTGCACATAGAGAGATCTAAAAGTTGGTATTGGTCAAACAACTAGAAGTAGGAACAAGAGAGGAATGGAGCTAGGAACATGCCATTGTTCATTCTGCTTATGTAGGAAGTCATTTAAGTGCAGTCTGAAGTAAGAGGTGTTTGCTATGTAGTAAATATCTGTTTTAACTAGTGATTTTTAACCTCATCTCTTCAAATATTCTGTAAAGACTTATTTGCTGAAATTCTTGTTCTATGAAAGTATTACAACTGAATTACCAGAAAAAATTATCTCCCCATAATTGTTGATTTAACTCATGAGTAACTCTTCAAAAATATAGGCTATAATGATCCCAGAAGTATCTAATTTGTCTATTGCGTATATCTGTATTTCACGTTTCTTGAATATAGTGAGTAGCGTGAGTAAGACTCAAAAGACATTAAGTGGAATGTCATGTTTCATAGTGTCTGCATATAGTGGCTTTACTGGGCATGCTGTTGAGAGAACTTAAGTTGCACCACAGGAAGACCTTTAGAATGAGACTCCTGAGCTGTGTTACCAGTGCTGTGCTGACTGTTAGAAAGCAGGAAGCCCCTCAGAAAAAGAACTACCTTCATTTGATTTTAGGTGACATGGAAAATACTGTTTTTCCTTTCTAAATGTTTTAGGAATTTTGATTGATTTGTTTTCTTATGTGCTGCTGTTTTATAGTGCCAGTTTAATGCAATTTGACAACATCAAACAAGAGGAGGGAAGGTAGTGTAAATGACAGTATCAGTAATTTGAAACTTTTAAGTACTCTATTGAGACTGTGCGAGAATTACAAGCTCTAAATAGCGCTCTTGGCAGTGTATGCAGAAGCATCTTATGGATCTATTGCTGCCTAGTTTATGCTGAGTAGAATTGCACATTCCTTGCCGTAAAGCTGCTTTATGTGAATGTTTTGTCTTAAGTATTTGTCAAATAGCTTAAAGGTGCTTTCTGTTTAAGATATTGGTGATGCAAGACAGATAAGATTTGAGGGAAGACAGTGAAAACGTGCCATTGCTGTTTGGTGTCTCTTTTTAGCATTAAGGAAAACAGAGTTTCCTTTTAAGTAATTGCTTCGGAAGGATCTTATACAGTGAGTAGAACCCTGAGGATTGGCTCCATTCAAAGCTTTAAAAATTGCCTAATAAAAGAAGGAGCTTCAGAATATTGCTTTTTAATATTCCTGACGCTGGGCAGGCTTTTGGTGTCCCTGCCTGGTGCAGAATCTTCAAGGCATAGTCTATGCTGGTGCAAATTAAAGGAATTTCAAGGCTGCTGTAGGTTTTACCTGCATGGAAGGAATCATATCATAACTTGAATCAGCATCCAGTATTTTGTTGCTGTGTTGCCACACAGTTTAAATGAGTCCTTGAGTACAAAACAAGATTTTAATTTAATTTAGTTTAGTTTAGTTATGATGTGCTTTTTGTGACCTTTGAAATTTTCTAATCTCATAGTCTGATTCTACAGAGTGCTCTATTTAGAGGAGTGACTATGAACTAGCACACTGTTTAAAACAGAAAACGCTGCTCTCTGAGTCATCTGACTTACTGTGTTACTGCTCTTTAAATGTAAATGCCAGTATATGCTTGTTGTATTCTTTGACTGCCTTGTGTTCTAACTAAGCAGTATTTATACATGCATTAGAGAGCCTTTCAGCTATTCAAAAGTAATAAGCTTAGTAGCTACTGATAGGTTAAAATCAAAGGAGCATCTTCAGTTTTTTTTCTACAAGATCCTTGAAGAGGTAGAGGTTTTGAGTGCAGACAAGGGGACAGATGAGCATTTGTTTTGATATCTCAATACCAGTCTCTGTACAATTATCTTTGAAAATTCTCTCACTCAGAAGTGCCTGCCTTCTCTTTTTGCCCCTGTGATGGGCCTTCTCTTTTTGCCCCTGTGATGATCATACGAATTTTCTGTCTGTGCAAGGTGGGTGGGTAGGTATTTAGTCTTGGTAGCAAGAGAGACTGTAAAATCAGTGCAGGGCCTTCAGCTGGGTAGTTCTCTGACATGTCTCTGAGTAGGGTTATGGTTCTTGGTGATGTAGCATTGTCCCTTGGGACTTGATTTTGTAATAAAGTAAACCTGGAGTTCATGAATGGCCAGCTATTGTCAGACTAATTTAAATCCTACCAAACCTACTTGTTACAAACTGCCTTAGAAAAAAGTAACTTTTTTTACCATTATGGCATATTTGAACTTTAATGTATAGTATGTCCTGCAGACTGCCCTATAATACAAAAAACCTTCTCCCTTGCCTTGTATTTGTACCTTTTTGTTTTCTTTAACTCTCTTTCCTTCTCTGTGAAAAACAGATAGTGAACTAAAGTCCGGTACCTTATTTATTAGGGTAAAAAGATAAAAAAATGGTTTTATGTTTGTATGTGTGATCATCTGTTGTATTCTGATTTACTGTTGCACAAGTATTGCAGCAACTGGGACTAAACCGTGTATCACAAAGATGTTATGGTTGCCTTGCACTTTAATAATTTGGTTTCTCAGGTTTTAAATATATGGAGGTTAGAAATGTATGCAAGCAGGGGTTGGCTAAGGATGAGTTACATAATGCTGTGTACTGCTGATTTTACTGTTGAAGGTCCTAAAAACTAAGTTTTGAATGGTTTTGTATGCTTGATACAGAACAATCTTGTGGTCAGCCTGTTCTCAACTAGTGTGTGGCTGTCATTCACTCCTTGCCATGAAATACTCCTATAAAATGTAATTTGATTTCTGAAAGGAGTAGGAGGCCCATAAGAGTACTGAGGCTGACACTGCAATGTTATTTTACTTCAAGCCTCCCTGCCTGGAAGCACTGTGCTATGTGATAAATATTAAAAAATGATCTTCTAATCGGCCATTAATGTGGGTTAGCAAGGACGAACTTCCAGACAGGGCCAGTTTAAAGCTACTTTGGCCATCTTCATCGTCAGCATGTTGATAGGGCAGTTAAAAAAAGTAGGAAAAATCCCAACCCAATAACTTGTGATCTGAAATAGAACAGCTGATGCAACTCTAGAGACTGAGTGCTGCTCGGAGGTGTAAACACTAGTGTGGCTTCTACACCTGCCTTCCCAAGGCATGTTGTTGGCATCCTCTCTCTCAAGATATCTGTCTGTGAAAAGAGGCGTGAGAAGGAAGGATGTTATATGCTGTATATAACATATACATATGCATATATATAAATGCTGTATGCATTTAACTTGGAGTAATTGTGACTTGCTACTCCACTGTCTGAGACACTGTATTCTTTTTTGGTGACTAAATTAAGGAAAAGTTACAACCCCACCTAATTAGTAGGAGTTGGCACATTATAACTGGCAGTGCTGATTAAGATGAGTTTCAGCTGACCTGCTTGCCCTTCAGTACACCTGGTGTATATCACACTTGCCTTGTGTCGTGTTTCAGTGGGCTGGAACAGCTTCTGTTGAAGAAAGGCCAGTTTGCTTTTCGGTACTGTATGCTGTTGTAGAATAAACAAATATGTGTTTCATAAGGTCTTATTCGAGATAAGTGAAGCAATACTTTTTACCAACACAGAGCATATAGAAGATACCAACAAAAAGAAACTGAATATTTTCACTGATGGAGTCAGAAAGGGAGAACAGAGTAGTTTAGTCTGAGTCAACCTGGAAAATTTGGGGATTTGCAGACACCTACAGTAAACTTCTGTGAATGAAGTATTAGTTTACATAATAAATCTAAATTTCTTGTAAAATACGTGCATGAGCAGAGATTCAGACTGTGAAATCTCAGAATAAGAGATGACTATGTATTGATAGCCTAAATGATGAGTGGTTGTTTAAAAGGACACAACATAATCAAAGAAGTAATTGATATTAATTTTTAGGTAAACAGGTAACAGTGTAAGAAGAATACAGGAAGTACAAGTTCTGATTCTATTTTTGGATAGACTTTAGTTGCTTCATTTTGCAGTCTCTGTACTAATGGAATTATCTGATAGATAATGAATAATAAAGTTTTCCTGAATATAACTGATTTGTTTGGGAAAATATCCTTTATATTCTATGAAGAGAACATCACACCAGTCTAGACAGTAGAAAAGATATGATTGGTTCTATGGTAAACCACTTAAATATGTACCTAATTTCTTACAAAATAATGTGTTTGAAATTACTACTTACTTGTAAAAAACCTACGAATTTATGTAAAATTTAATGGAGTGTCTACAAAATACTTTCAGCAACAAAAGTGAAACGTCTCAATGGTATTTTTTTCCCTTCCCCAAGATTTATGAACTCAGCGAATTGTGTGGCTTCTGAAATTGCATGTTCTGTCCTGTCAGTGATAGTCTGTAGTGTGTAGTGGCTATTTTAGGTAGGTTTTTTTCACATGTCACATCAAAGCAATGCTTTTGCTTTGGATCAGTCTCTGAACGTATTTCTGGAATGCAGTTAAGGTGATATTTTTCTGGATTATTTTACCACCCTTTTGAGACTCATAATGACCAGTCTTGAATGACATGTAAGTCTGATTGCTTATTATTCACAAAAGAGTTAAGAATCTTTGCAATGGGAACACAGTCTGTTTACAAACAGAGCCCAGACGTTTTGCATAAAATCTTAGAGTAATATGATAAAACTTTCAAATCAATACCTGATTGTGGCTCAGGAGGAGAGAAGGAAATGGGACAGTACGCTGGGAAGGTTGTGTAGGCATTCATATGGATAGAAAACAAGTGGTTTGTACTGCAAGTTTGTTTCTTAAAGCTATAAGTGGGTCTGTGGAATGTGTTCTGTCTCTGGTTTTCTGGAACGATGAAAATCTAAAATGTTTGAGCTTATTTTTCAGCTATGCTAGTGTAGACAAGAGACCTAGAAGTCCTTATTTCAGTTTCAGTGTGAAGTGAAATATGAATTTGAACTCACAAAAACTTCCATTGCCTGCAGGTTTACCAATCAAGCTTTTAGCAGCTCTTTTGAAAGGGTCATTGTCAAAATTCACCACTGAGAATGTGTCTTCATGATAAGGTTTCTACGGAAACCTCTACCTACCATTGTCACCTGCAAGTAGTTCTAGGTAGAGAAATATTTAAAAAAAATTAAAATTTTTTCGTGTGAATTGTCTTGAAAAGGAGGCTGTCACAGTTTCTTTCATGTGTAGACAAACTTTTGCAGAGTCATAAATGGAGCAAACAATTTCCCTTCCATTTTGTCAGTGTGAAGCTTTAAGCTGTAGCAGGTGGCCTGTAAGGACCACAAGTGTGATTTCCCCCCCCCCCTTTTTTAAAATCTCTGGGTAGGATTTTCTTAGAGCATTTGTAGGTATGAAAGTTTCTGTAGACAATTGATGTTACAGAGGAAAACTGTTAATTATTCTCTACATACTTAAATAATTATTCTTAGTGGAAGTATTTTTGCATTTAAACCTGCTTTTTTGGGCAGGTTTGAGAGAGATTTAAGTGTTTTCCTGTTATATTATTACTGTCTTTTGGTGTTTTCTTTCAGTCTCCTCTATTCATCTCTCATTGGCTCCCATTTTGTGGTTGGTAGGCATGAGCCTGTAAGAAAATTCTTGTGAAAACAAGTACTTAAGCCACCATCCAGGGAAAGATCTTGGTGTGTTGCCTCAAATGACTACATCACCAGCTGATGTGTGTTTAGTTCTGCAAGGGTAGCAAGGACAAAGGGATTGAGGCTGAGATCAGTTTAAGTAGATCAAAGTCACAAGAGATCACAAAATGCTGTCCTGATTTAAACTAAAGCAAAAGACTAAATTATTCTGTGGAATTTTTAATAAAGAAATGTTTCTATTTGTTCCATGCTTGTTTTTTTTTATAGTTTGCCTAAACTTTTACTGAGAAGCATATAATGAAAAAGGCAAAATGCCAGAAACACCTTAGTGCTAATTTTTCTGCAATTATGTTTGACTAAACTCTCTTGGTCATTTTAACCTGCTTTTCTACTGCTTGTCTTCTATGTCTTGCTGTTAAATTTTACAAAAATGTAAGGTAATTAAACGGAATTTTTCTTTCAGTTCATAACTGGACTCAAGAGGACACTCTTCAGTGGCTTTCAGAATTTGTTGAACTGCCACAATATGAAAAGAATTTCAGAGAGAGCAATGTCAATGGAACAACACTTCCCAGGTGAATGTTTCTTCAGGATTGGTTTCAAATAATTCCTTGTAGGTTTCTCTTTTAGTCTGTGTGTGGGAACAACGATGTGAACCTAAAGTCTAACAAGATACAGTCAAATGCTAGAAAAGAAAAACATCCTTGCAGTTTTGAAGAAGTGGCTGCATTTTTTTTCCTGCCAAAATATTTTAAAATATGACTTTCATAAAAGTTTTGTTTCTTGCTGTGGAAGCTTTTATCAAAGGTCACATAATTCTGTGTGGTAGCAGACTTTCTTTTGAACATCTTCCAGTCTATTGTATGGGTATATGTAACAAACTATCTGTAGAACCTGTTTCCTGGAGTGTGACTACCACATCTGAGTATGTTGCATGTATTACAGAGTTGGTGTCACAAGTCTGCAAATATATCTTTACCTTTAACTTTGTTAAATGGATTTATTTCACGATTTTTCCAGAAAGAAAAGAATAGGTAAATGATTTTACATTCCTTTTTGCCACATTCTGATATGCTTTTTTTTCCAGCCATACTGTCGTATTATATTTCTCACTCTTAATTGCTTATCTGTAATCTATAGAACTATGAGTGAGAAATGTGGATGTCTTTTTTTTTTGCATAGACTGATTCTGAGTATAATTTATGGTATAGGTAATGTTTTGTCTTATCATTAACAGGATAGCAGTAAATGAACATGCTTTCATGATCTCTCACTTGAAAATAATTGACCGGAGCCATAGACAGAAGCTTCAACTTAAAGCCTTGGATGTGGTTTTATTTGGACCTCTTACCCGTTAGTAACTTCTTGGAGTTTTTTCTTATCTCTTAATTATAAGAATTCAACAGAACATATTTTCAATGACACTTGATACTGTAGATAGGACAGCTTATCTATGTTGTGGATGTACTGATGGATTGCTTGGCATGTGTTGTGGAAATCTGCAGTGAATTAAAAAAGATTGTTGAGGCGCTGTGACCAGGACAAAGGTTCACTTCTGTATATAAGATCATGTAGAAATTTTAGTATAACCCCACTTCAAAGATGGAAGTCGGCTTTTGTGTCACAAGAAGTGTCCTCTAAATGTTTTTGACTGTTTAAATTACAGTTACAGCTAATGTTACATTCACTTCCCAATTAGCTTGGACAGTGCAGCTGGGATGCTGAAATTAGAGGGGATAACCTTCCCCAAGAAGAAAAAAGGAGAGGGTGGTGCAAATCCAATAACTGTGTCTTTTGTGCAGAGTTGAGTTTAAGTGTGGTTAAACTTAATGCAGCAGTTCCACATCTGACCTATTTTACCATATGCAGACATGTCTATACCACATCACCAATGCTCTGCATTCTTGCTTGTACACAGCTACAGATTTGTTGTGGTGCTGTGCATGTCTGGTGTTCCTGAATCAGTCAGGCCAGATCTGAGCTGGGGATTTTTAGGGGGGAAAAAAAGCTCTTTTTATTTGTATTATACCTCCTTTAATGCTAGCAGAAAGTCTTACAAAAGTTCAAATGACCAAAATTGTACTAACAGAGATGTGTACGTGAATCTTGGATATGATAATTTGACGATCCAAGTTTTACTTTTAAGAACGGCTGCTGTTAGCCACTCACCATTTTAAAATGTACTTTATTTTTTCCAAGTGCATTTTTAACCCAGCATAGGGTATTCCAGAGGGTGCAAACTGGGGAAAATTTGCTCAAACATAATTAAAGCTCTTACTGACCTGATAAAGTGTAATTGGGGAACTCTATTTAAATAAGTAAAAATAAAGATACAGAGTATGTACTGTAAAAGTTTAATAAGCTTTTCTCAATCTAATGAATGTTGTAGTGTAGATTAAGTAAATTGTATTAGAGCAGAGCTGCTTATGTTGTATGGAAAATGCTCTGTTGTCTTTATCAGTGAACTAGTTAATGATGGTGTTATTCTCTGCACAGGTCCCCCTCACAACTGGATGAAGGATTTTATATTAACAGTTTCTATAGTTATTGGTTTTGGAGGCTGCTGGTTTGCATATACACAGAACAGAACCTCAAGAGAACATATCACAAAAATGATGAAGGACTTAGAAAGTCTTCAAACAGCAGAGCAAAGTCTTCTTGACTTGCAGGAAAGGTATAAAACCTAAAAATAAAAAAAAAAACTAATGTCTAGTTGTCCTTTTGTTTTGAGGTTAAATACAAACATAGATCCTTTACAGTCATAAATTATTTGCATTAAGCTGCCTTTGGATTTTGTTCATCTTCCCTTTGCATGGAAATTGTGATTTCATTGATACTGGTTTTATGGGTAGAAATTGCACCTGGATATTTTCGCAGGCAGTACGAACTTGTGGATGAAGGTAAAGAATAGAGGCTGTCTTTTTTACCTACAGATTTACAAGTATGTATTGTTATTTTCATATAATTACAGTTTACTTTGGAATATTTACATACAGGGGAATGAGCACATTTCTCCTGTTTTTAAGCTCTTAAGATTGAAACAAACCAGGACTGATTACTTTCTACCGCTTATATAGCAGTGTGAGAATTGAAAGTCTTCTCCAGTGCACCTGTAACTCAATTGTATATAGAGTCTTGTATTTTGATATTACACCTTTAATGATGGTTCACTTAACAGCTTGTGTATTTTGCCTGATGGGGATATCACAATGTGTGATGCAGTTGCTGCTGATTCATGAAGCTTACAGAGCCTTTATTATCACAGAGAGGTTGAGGTTGGAAGAGACTTCGGGAATTCATCTTGTCCGGCCCTTCCTGCTCAAGCAGGATCATCTGGAACAGGTTGCCTAGGACCATGTCCAGGTGGCTTCTGAATATGTCCAAGGATGGAGACTCTACCACCTCTCTGGGCAACTTGTGCCAGTGCTCAGTCACTCTCATGGTGAAAGTGTTTCCTGATGTTCAGATGGAACCTCATGCTTTGGTTTGTGCCATTGCCTCTTGCCCTGTTGCTGGATGCATTTTCTTCTTCTGACGACTACAACTTTTAACAAATATGCTGTGTATTTTCTTATATTTTTTGTTCAATTTTGAAGGCTTGAGAAGGCACAAGAAGAGAACAGAAATGTTGCTGTGGAAAAGCAAAATCTGGAGCGCAAAATGATGGATGAGATCAATGATGCAAAACGGGAAGCTCATCGCCTAAGGGAATTAAGGGAGGGAGCTGAATGTGAGCTCAGCAGGCTCAAATATGCAGAGGAAGAATTAGTACAGGTATCTGCAAACTGTTTATAACTTTAGTGTTGACTTTGAATTGGTTGTAGTTTTATTAGATCCTCAAATGCTAGGTTTTAATGGAAAAATTCTAAGCGTGCTTAATGACTGTCTTTCAATCATACTAGATAAAAGTATGATTTTATCGAGTAAAATAATCCTGAAACTATAAAAAGCCGTGAACTTTGTATATTAGCTTAATGTAACGTTTTTGGATTCACTGAAGAAAATTATATACAAAAGCTTTTTTTATCTTGTTATCAGAAGAGAGATAGTAGCTTTATCTCCTCTGAAAAGCAATAAATTTGGATTTATTGTACTAAAAAAATGCTGTCTTACAAAAAAATTTAAGCTTCAAATTAGGAACCATATATCAAAAGAAAAAAAAAATCTGATTATAGTACAGTATATGGAAGGTCTTATGCCAGATTTCAGAAATGCCAGATCTGCCTTCCTGGTATAAGGGTACTTATACTTCACTTTCTTCTTCTTCTTCTTTCAGTTCTAATGATACTCTTGGTGACTCTCTTATTTCTTATTGATTGCTAGGTTCGCATGGCTTTAAAAAAGGCTGAGAAGGAGTTTGAGTTGAGAAGTAATTGGTCTGTTCCTGAAGCTTTGCAGAAGTGGCTTCAGTTAACACATGAAGTTGAAGTACAATATTACAACATCAAAAGACAGCATGCAGAAATGCAATTAGCAATTGCCAAAGATGAGGTAATAACTTATTCTTCAGCTACTTAAAGACTTTTCTGATCTGTTGCTAGATACATGAAATAGTAAACACAAAGCAGATAAGCATTTGGGTGTTTTTTTCTTCTCTGAATTGTTTGCTACCTCTCAATATTGCTAATGTTTTATCATCTGTTATGTATATTACTCCTAGTTTTATGCATTTCATTTTATCTTGCCTTTTAGGCAGAAAAGATAAAAAAGAAGAGAAGCACTGTATTTGGAACATTACATGTTGCACACAGCTCCTCCCTGGATGAAGTGGACCATAAAATTCTTGAAGCAAAGTAAGAGGATTACCAGGACAGGTTGCATAGTCTTTTGTGCTTACTTATTCCTGAAACAATGGCATTTTTGAGAGTTACAGAATTGAGTGTCATAGTGGGTTTGCATTTTAAGAAAAGCAGTTTAAAATATGTTAAAATCTGAATATTTGAACTTCCTGATGGATCTTCTGGTATGCTGGAATGAATGCACTTGTGTTGCTTTGCTTTATCATTAAGAACAGCGTGTGTAATTTTAATGTGTGCTTTTCTTCAGGAAAGCACTCTCTGAGTTGACAACGTGTTTGCGAGAGCGTCTTTATCGATGGCAACAGATTGAGAAGATTTGCGGGTTTCAAATCGCACACAATTCTGGGCTACCGAGCTTGACCTCCTCTCTCTACTCTGATCACAGCTGGGTAGTTATGCCTCGAGTCTCCATTCCTCCTTACCCAATTGCAGGGGGAGTTGATGACTTAGATGAAGATACTCCTCCAATAGTTTCACAGTTTCATGGTAAGTGGTGAGCTCAGTAAAAAGAAGGGGAAAAGTTGTGGGGACATGGGAGTTCCCAGTTAGGAGGAGAGTGCTGAAATCAAACAGGATTAGATCAAAGTCAAAACTCTATCTAGCATTTCAGATGCTAGGTCATGTGGGATTTAATGAACTGAAAACTGAGTTTTGCAATAAACTTAACATGAAGAAAAAGCCTTTATTCTGTTTCAGTGGTGGAGTGGGGCAAATCCAGCTAAGGTTTTGAAAGTGCTTGTCAAGCTTGGATTGCTACTTACAAAAATTTGTAATGAATAATGCTGAATTTCTATTTGCACATTTATTTTTTCAGATGGAAGAGATAGTGTTAATCTAGAGTCCTTTGAGCTATTTGGAAGATCACACCCTTTGAGAGGCCGCATGCTACATAGATTTGCAAATGATCACACCCTTTGAGAGGCCGCATGCTACATAGATTTGCAAATGTTCTTTACTGGTTGGAGCAAAATCCTGTTGACAAGGAAAACTTTCAGGCAGACTGTTTGTGTTTGGATACAGTGGGTTGTTTGAGTGCAAGGCAAAGAAGCCAAGTGCTGGAGGGAGGGCAATTCAGCTTTGGTTAAACTGTGATCAGAAGATATACACTGGGGACTCAGACCACCCTGGTATCATGAGTCATTGTGTCAGTACAAGAGCCTGTTTTGTGGAAGCTTTGATTAACTGGACTCTAGAGGAAAATCAAAAAGATGAACTCCCATGTAGCTATTCAAACAACCAATATCAAGCTGAGGACTAAGTAGGGAAAAAAGCTATCATATATTTTTCTTCCAGGGCTGGGATTCTCAGAAGTACAAACTGTATTTTAAAATAGCTTAAGATCACCACTTCGCTGGCTTCATTTAGCGTGCCTTGGGCACATGTTTTTCTTCTAAGTGTACTAACCTGTTTTCTACAGACCACATTGAAAAGTTCATTGATCCCCTTACAACACTGCTTACTACAAGTTCTGATCACTTTTAAGGCATGCTGTTTCTCTAGTTGTCTTCACTGTGAAGGCTTTGATTTAAACCCTAGCAACAAATTTATTGGGTGGCCCAATACAATATGGATGCCTAAACTTCTAATTCAATATAGAGAAACCTCTGGTCTGATTTCAAAATGAAGAGATCCATTTATTATCATGATTTTCCAGGTAGTCTAAAATGACAACACTTGGATATATATATAAGACATCAGACTTGTGGGGTTTTTTTGTCACTCTTCTCATTCAGCTCTTGCTTAGAAGTGAAGCCAGAGAAGAGAGTGCAGTTGGTTCAGAGCAACTACAAGTAGAAAAGGACTGTAGTTTGTACGAGCATACTTAGCTGAAACTTTATGCTTTTTCAATTATGGTTTAATTTCTGTGTATTAAAGTTCAGTTCATTTGGAAGTGTTTCTGTCTCAGTGATGAAAGTTATCTGAATCTTAATAACACTACAAAAACTTTAATTTTAGTAAGACCCAAAAGCCTGATGTTGTTAAAGTGACCACATGAAGGAAGTAGTTTATCCTTAATTTACTGGCTTTTAAAATTTCTACTCAGTAAAAAAAACCTGCAAACATTTGGGAGTGGGGAAGGAGAGGGAAAATATGCTAAGTGATCTGTTGCTGAAACTAGTTTAGGAGTCAAATTATTGTAGGTTAGTTTGGTAACTGCTGAATTACTCCCATCCTTCAGAGAAAAATAACAAATGCGCGCAAGGAAGGATAGAAGCAAAATGGCTTGTCATGCTCATGAGGCTTCAGGGAAAATGCAGCATGCAGAAGGTCAGTTAAGAGTGAGACTATTACAGTCTCTGGATCTAAACTGAACCGGACTGTTACCTTGCCCCCGCCCTTTGATCTCATAAGATTGACAAAATTTGAAGTCTGTCAGACAGGCTTCTTTGTGGCAGAGCAGTTGGGTTCATAGGCTGAAATGGTGTCAGGTAATAGAGTGGTTTGATCAATCTCAAGCTGAAGAACAAAAGGTGATAAGAAATAGATGTACGACACTGGAACAAAGACCTTACAGGAGGGTGATAGTGAAACTTCTATTCTTCCATGGACTGATCAGGATTCAGCTGGTTCCTGGATTTAGTGACTTTCATTTGCACTAGAAAATTCTATATGTTAAATTGTCATAGCTGAACCCTTCATATATACACCTACAAGAAATTAAAATGCTTGTAACTTCTCTCGAAATTCACTAATGGTGCAATCTTGGGGTTTTTTTTTATACCAGTGAGTAGGATGGCATCTGATTTACCTGGACATGTAGCACAAATTTACTAAAGGGATTCTTATTCCTATCTCAGTTCACATTTGCTCTTTTAGGAGTACTGTTATAATGACACAAGATGATTTCTGAGCTCCCAGCATCTGCTTATAGGGTCAGTAGGGAGTTCATCAAAAGTAAAATGAAAAGTTTGAGATACATGACAACTCTCATGTTGGGGCTTATGAACCTTTCTTTTCTGCTCAGGAGTGGAAATGAATTTATGTGCTGGCAAAAGTGCAGTTACTCACTGTTTTCTAAAAGTTGTGATTTCCTGTACTAAAACGGACTGACAACCTTTTCTGAGATTCTAGGAAGCGAATCTATAACTTACCTGATGCTAAACTGGTATTGCGGAAAATAAAATATATTTTGTCAGGCTAGACAGAAATAGTTGAATTTTTTTATCGTGTTGTGTTTGTTAAATATTTTGAACATCAGTAAGGGTCTGGTGTGTCTAACGTAAGCAGTGATGCATTCTATGGGACAGTTTGAGGAGGGGTGTGAAAAATCCTGAGACTCATAACAGCTAGCCTGAAAACAGGTCTGCAGCTTTATTTCTGTACTAGTATTGCTGCCTAATAACCTTTTGAAGGAGGAATTGGATTAGGAAAATTTGAGTTTGTCACTTCCTGTTGAGACTTTCCTGGTCAAGTCTTGTGTTGCTGTTTCCTCCATACTTATATTTTTGTTTCTGGAAATTCATAGTTAGCCTGGCAAAAGAAAGTGTTATCTGAAAGGAAATTCTTGAGCTTAAAAAGAGGTTGAATTATATATTTTCTATCCTGTTACATAAATGAAATTGGTCTTCCATGTCTAACCTACTTTTCAACTAATGCAGTGTATTTCAGTTGGCTGTTTGGTTAGGCATACCTACATTGCAAAACTTTTGCATATTTTTTTTAAATTCCAAATCACCACACAAGTAAAATTCAGGACATTGTGTAACATATTAATTTCAGCCCTGCTATTTTTAGTGTATAAGGGGTTGTGAGTTTCAATAAAATCTCTTTTTTTTTTTTTTTTTTTTTTTTTCTCAAGAGAGCATAGTGAGCCAGAGCTTTGGTGTGTGGTTAGTGTAGTATTTGGCTGGCACAAAATCTCTGCAGTTGCATCTTGATTAGCTGCTGCATCTAACTGTAGAATGTATAAGGTGTTCAGTGTTTCTTGCTCTGGAACAGTCAAACAATGTCAAAGTTGTTTAAAAATCACTGTCACTGAAGCAGATACCTGCTATTTAGACTTCAGAGTAGATATTGTTAACATCAATGTAACTTGGAGGGTTATGGTTTGCTTTTTCTCTGCCTCAGGGTCCATTGTGAAACCTCCCAGCAGCACACTGGCAAGAAGCAGTAGCTTGTGTCGATCAAGACGCAATGTTGTGCCATCATCTCCGCAGTCTCAGCACGCTTTGCACTCCCCTGACCCTGACATCCTTTCTGTGTCGAGCTGCCCAGCTCTTTATCGAACTGAAGAGGAGGAGGAAGCCATTTACTTCTCTGCTGATAAACAATGGTACGGAGATTAGCAAACAGCACTCGGAACTCTGATAGGATTATTGAGACTAATAGTTTAGAATTAGAGGTTAAACCAAGCCAAAAGTTAAAGTAATCTATAGGGTAATATAAACTAATATAGTCTACGTGGAACAGAGAGTTCTTGTCTGGTATGTGTATGTAAATAGCTAGCTTGTCATATACAGTTAAGTATGTTACAATCCAGGGTGCACTGAACTAACCCTGATTCTCCATTACAATATGTTACTGGCTTTTACATCTGAAACTAGGATCAAAAGCAATGTCAGCTACTGGGCGAAGAGAAGATGGATGGTAACACAATTCTTACAGCATGTTGAGCGTGTACCTACTCTTGTTACATGGCCTCATAGGAAAAGGTTAAATTCCTTTTGGAAGGAGCAAATGAGCTTGTTGAAAGGTAGGGACACTTGTCCTGAAGAAACTTTTTATATATGATAGGCTTAAATCTCCTCCTTTCATTTCATAACTTTTCTGACTTCATGTGCCAGAAAGACAGTTTCGTTCTTTGAAGTGAGATACAAATGACTGATTCTGGGCAGATGCTGCTGCCCACAAAAGCAAGATTGCACAGATTAATGACCTTAAGTTTAGATAATAAAATGATGTAATACAAGTTTTAACTTAATGTTTAACTTTATGTTTTTTGTTTAATTAACTACTAAGGAAAAGTGTGGGTGGTGCTTTTAGACTAACGTTATTGATTCTAAATTAATTTCCTTTTTAACTGTATGAAGGAAATAGTTTCATTATGTTTTCTCTTCTCTTTGCTCTGACTCAGGGAAGTACAGGAAACCGGTTCGGAATGTGACTCCTTAAATTCATCCATTGGAAGGAAGCAGTCTCCTCCAGCAAGTCTTGAGATGTACCAGACAATTTCTCCTCAGAAAGTATCCCCAGAAGAATTCTCACTGGAGGAATCATCTACAGGAGACTCCTCTTCTTTAACTGCAGATATTTCTAGGGGCTCTCCTGACTGTGTAGGCATGGCAGAAACTAAGAGCATGATCTTTAGTCCTGCAAGCAAAGTTTATAATGGAATCCTGGAGAAGTCCTGCAGCATGAACCAGCTTTCAACTGGGATCCCAGTCCCAAAGCCTCGGCACACCTCGTGTTCTTCAACCGGCAGTGATAGTAAACCCAGCCATGAAGCTGCTTCTGTCCCCAGGATAAGTAGCATCCCACAGGACCTCTGCCAAAATGGTGAAAAAAATAAAAAGCCATCAAAAATAAAAAACCTCTTTAAGAAGAAGTGTAAGTGAGATGGGCAGAAGAAAACCTATAGTAATGTTATGAGAACTCTATTTTTTACACCTTTAGGAATGTAATTCCATTTGAGCATTCCAGACTGGATGCCCTTGTGGAATGCTCAGTAGGTCACCTATATTTAACTGACTGTAACGGTCGTGCCAGCTGTCAATGAGAAATCCATTAAAAAGTTCAGACAGTTTACATTAATTTCTGCCTATTTATTTCTTTTTTTATTTTAGTTTGTCTTTTTCAGTGTGATTTTTTTTTTTTTTTTAAATTTGTTGGTTTTTTAAAGTTTATTCATAAACCATTTTTAAGCCACTTTGGACTCCTAAGCTTTAATGGACTAGTAAGCCTTCCTGGGCTTGCCAAAGTTTCTTGTTTACTGGAGCATCTTCCTATCTTTCCATAGAACTAGGACATTTGTCTACTGGACTTTAACACAAATAAAAGAAGTAGAACTAAATGAATTGCACTACTGTTATACAGACTGGAACAGTCTCTGCAAGTGAAACTAAAAGACTTGTGTTTGACTGAGAAGATAAATCTTTTCACTTTTAGATCTTTTGGGGTTTTTAAGTAGAATTTAGCATTTCTAATTGACTTGATTTCTGGAAATGGAAATGTCATGCTTTTATTATGGGAAGCTTTGTTAGATGCGTTTATTATTAGAATGGTTCAAGTCCTGCTGTAAAGATCATTTTTTTCCCAGGACTTTCACTGTGATTTTACTTCACTGCAGGCTGTATGACAAAAAAAAAAAAAGTAATTTATCAAGAGAAAAGGCTCTTGATTCCTTATGCAAGTGATGGTTGTGAAACTTGACTGAAGACTGAAAATATTCACTCTCTAAGTGAGGAGAGGAAATAGTAGCTTTTGTTTACAGACTGAGAGACAACGGACATTTGGGTTGTGAAAGTTTGTACTGTGGTAAAGATAATAAATTGGAAACATTATTGTGCTTGGGAATGTTCCAATTTTAGCTAATGCTTGTTTCAGACATGTTTCAGAGTTCCTGTTAATTGAAAGCTGTCGTAGGCTACATTGCTTATGCTTACTGCTGTGTATAAGTTATTATTATATTTTTTGAATTAGCTATTATTGTCTTAATGTCCTCCTTTTGTAAGATTTCATACACTTTATTTTTGTATAGTTTGAAGATCTAGCTGTTCAGACATGTCTGAAGTAAATGATATAATTTTATAATGCATACTGTCATACTAACTCATAATTTCAGATATAAAGATAGATATAAAGGTGAGACTTGACATGCTTCAGATTAAAGCAATTTTTGTTAGGCTTTTATTGGGAGAGATGAAATGACTGTGAGGTAACAAGGAAGCCTTCTTAGGGTAGTAGTAGTAGCTAGTTGTTCAAAAACATCTTTTTATTTTTTTTTAAACAGTTGGAGACAAGAAATATACTGCTTAAGCAACAGTGCCTTTTATTCAGTTTGAAAATATTAATACTGAGCAGGAATTTCTTTTGAGACAAATTCCAAAGAAATATTCCCTGCTCTAGTAAACACAAGCAATTTACCCAATGATGACTAAACGGTTTCAGCTCTTCCATAGGGGTGTTATAGTTGCCTCAGTAGCAGGTGCCATTGCCAGGGACCTGTGATTAGGGCCTCACTTCTTGCCAATATGTACGTGATGTACTGTACGAAAGAACTAATTCACTGAATGCCTAAATTTTTTCTAGCACGGAGTCTTCAAAACTTGTAGCTAGTTGAAATCAAGTGATATGTGTATTTTCTGTCATTCTCTACTTAGGTTCCACTGTACATAACCAATGTGTTAGTTCTGTCCTTGAAGTGGTGGTGATTTTAACAGAAGGCATTTACTGTGGCTAGTGAAATGGTTAGAAGAGGATGGTTATAAAATGGGATGGAAACCTTACATGTGCAAGTACCTTAAAAGTCCTGGTACATTGATTAATTCCTTAAGAGAACACAATGAATCCCAGAATTGTACTGTCTAACAAAGAATGATTGTATGCCATCTATGCAGAAAAGCATAGGAGGAATCAACTGTTTGGCAGAGTTTGGAGAAGAAAAAATTGGGGGGAATAGAAAATAATGACAGCATAATATTGTTCCATTATTCTCTGAATCATCAGATTGAACAACCGTAGCTTCAAAAAAAAGTCATCACAAGGTAACAGTGGTCCCTTTGAACAAAGATTGTACACCCTGTACATGGCGGAGGAAAAAAAGAAGCGATGCAAAAAGACTTGTGCTAGAGAACCACCTCAATGCTAAGCCTTCAGAGATGTAGGTAAAAACCTGATGAAGTACTTGAACATCTACAAAGGGAAAAATTACTTTATAAAAGTAGGGAACTTATTGTGCCTCCCTGACAACCTGGAGAAGGCTACTACCAGAAAAGTGTTGATGCAATTGAGAAGTCTATAGCAATAATTGAGTTTAAAGTAAGATCTGGGACTGAGTAGTAGATCTTGGTGTAAGGTTTGAGGAACTCTGTCTCTATCATTATCAAAAAGATGAAGTGGCATTTTGATACTGGAGAGAAAATATTTACACATGAAAAAAAATCTGGTACCAAGGAGTGGGAGGTCAGCTCTTCTTAATCCCGATATCAAAGTCAGGCAAACTCAAATACTGAGAAACCAAAACAGGCAAATTCAGTTTTCTGTAGTAAGTATAATTAAAAACTTAAATGGAGGACATGTTGAACTCATCACTGGCTGTGAGTTTAAGTGTTAAGTATCTTTTTAAAATAAACAATTTAACTATCTTAAAAAAAAAAATGGTGTTATACAAACAAATCAGATGAGAATATATCATAGTGATAGATTTTGGCTTCAAAATAGCAAACCTTTGGAGAACAGACTGCTCTCAACACTCAGTTTATTCCCAGCTGTCCTCTTAACTTTATAGCTGCTTCTTAATAAATATTAGATATCTAAAAGCTTAAATTAATACAATCAGAAGTGGTGAGTATTGTATGTTGGAGCACAAACTAATTTTAAGTTAATTGAGTTAGGTTTATATTTTAATTACTTTAATAGACCGCTTTCATTTCTTGCTGCCTGAATTTGTCTGCAATGTAAGTGGCTTCCATTGCTCCTACTGCGGCTAATGCAGAAATTCCTGTCTTGAACCAGTTAGTGTCCTTTCAGTAAGGGGATGTTGAGAGCACTGGCACTAAGGTAGATCCTCATTGGCAAACGTCAAATCCAATCCTGATGTTGAAGTACCTGGCATGGATCAACACATCAGAAGTGAGACAATGTGCTTCGAAGGTCCTCTGTTCTGACTCCATTGGCTTACCAGTGTATCTTGAACTCACTGGCAGTCAGTGAGTCTAGCCAGCATTCCAACCACTGGGATTTCATGAGACACATCAGTCATCCTAGACAATCATCTAGTATCATTAGACATTTTTTTGTTTGTTTTGGGTTTTTTTGTCCTGTTTAACTTTTATAGCTAAAATCCGTGTTTTATTTTAAACTCTCCAGTATTTCAAAAGGTGAGGCTCTTTGCTTTCTTCAATATTTTGTTAGAGTATTTTGTCAAGACAGCAGCCCCTTTGTGGAAATTGCCTAAAAGGCTTCTCCCTGAAGAGGTTACCGTTTAAGTCTTTTACCGGTAAAATGAAGAAGTGTCAAGTGTGTGGTTCTATACAAAGAAGAAGAAAAACCTTTCCACAGTTCTTACTAAAGCTATATGACAATTTTTTACTAAAAGCGTAAAGATTTTAGGAAAGGCATTTCTGCTTGCCATGGGAAATACTTTTGACCAGTTTACAGTGGACTTAAAGATTAAAGCAGTTGATTTTTTTTAAATTTTATTTTTTTTTTCACTGCTTGGTGAATGAATTTAAAATAGATCATTGACAGTTCCAGGCCTGTGTCAACTTTTCTTTCCCCACTGGTACCTACGTAACAGATTACCCTCTACTTCCTGATGGACAGTTTGCTGAAAGAGGAAAGATTCTCCATCATAGTCTAGGTAGTATTGTTGTAGTAAGCATACAGTTCCTCCTTTGGAAGCCTTGAGGATGGTGAAGCCAAGAATATGTGACTTCAGTTTTGGTATGATATTTATAGATGCCAACTGGAGTTAGGCATTAATTTATGACTGATTGTCTAAAAAGATAAAATTAGTTAGAAAGCTTTCAAGATTTTGCCCTTTTGCTTCCCAATATATAGTAACATGGCATGCTCAGGAGGGAAATGAGCTAATTAGCATTTCTCATACCACCAACTTTTAGAGCTTCTGGATAATTTCATTCCATTTCCAAGATACATTGTTGGAGAGGGATTACTACCTTACATAATGTATACAAAGAAATATTTGTTTTTCATTTACTTAAAAGTATATTTACAAGCAGTGGAGAATGTAATAAAATACATTTTTTTAAAAATCAAATAGAGGGATTACTAGTTCTTGGACCTCTTGTCTATTTGCTTATCTCCTTGTACAATATGTTAAGTAGGGTGAACAACCTTTCTAATCTGTTCCAGTTGCTCTCTCTTAAGGGGTGTGTGGGTGCCTTACTATCATGTTTGAAACACTGCTCTGAAGTGCTCGTAGGCATTTTGATCCTGGATGTTGCATCTTCATTGATTAATAGTTAAGCCCACCATGGCTGTTTCATTCTAACTGCTGCTAAAATTTTCTACCAGTGGCAGAGATGTTGGGATAACTAGTAACCAAAAAAGGCTTTTGCCTGTAGAGTTGGACTGCCTGACAGTGTAAATGTTTAGGTAACCATTCTTTAAGGCTTCAGTAGCTGTTCAAAGGTGTCATACATCTGTTTCATTTCCAGACCAGTAAAGATGGTGTTTATCTGACACTCCACTTAGTTCTCTGTTGCATAAACAGAAGGTACTAATGGTAACAATGGTAACAATATTAACCTTTAAACTGTTATTCCTGAGTGCTCTTGCATCTGACATTGCTTAAGCAAGATGGCAGTACTCACAAGTCCACTTCAGGCCTTCAGAAACACAGAAGATTTCTGTTACCTTTTGATTTTCTCTGCAGCTTTGAATCTCAAGTTTACCAAATTGTGTGTGTTCTGTATATTTAATGTTCCACTGAAATGAAAGTGGGAAGGTTGTTCTCAATTTAGATGTTAGGGAAAGCACATTTGAGCAAGGTAAAAAGAAATTCCTCTTGCTCATTGCAGAGGATGAAAAAGAGTTCAGAGGTATTTCATCTGCTCCTAAGTCAGAAGACTAAGGAACACTCACAACTTAGGTTGCTGGAGGTAAAAGGTACACTCAATCTCAACCTTTCCGATCAGTAACTCTTTATCCAAGAAAAAAACCCCACTTTCTTCTTTAGGTGTATTCTTCAGGGCATTACCTTTGTATTTCTAATTTCTATTCTATTTTTGACCTAGCATTAAGTTTGGTAGTCACAGCACTAACTTAGGTGATTGCCAGACCTCAGAGCAGTTTCAGATAAATTTCCGTAGCGTGTCTTAATTTTGTTTTAATATGTGCTAAAGACATCTAAATTAGAACTTTTCCCTTCACATTCCTTTTACTTTAATTCAACTCAGTTCTTTGGGATCTCTCTACTGTTAAAAAAATAAACAGGTACTGATAGTTGTTTATAGTTTAGAGTACTATAATTTTTTTTCAGTTGGGAATTACTAATAGATAAATGGTAAATAGTTGCCTTTTAAAGACTAGATCATGGTTGGATATTATAAAAACACTACTGTACTTTAGTTGAACTAGGTAGAGCATTGACTGGTGCAATTTGTGAATGAATGGTAAATTTATCTTTCTTAAATAATCCTTTGATTGTTTATATGTGTCTAAAGTTAATGCTGCACAATTATTTTCAGACTTGAATTCATTTAAAATTAAGGTCTGTATGTCCAACCCTACAAAAGTCAGTCTTCAGTTGTCAGCCATCACTCCATTCTTACAGAAATTAATTACAATCTTGAATATTTGTACTAGCATATTAGGTGGTAGAATGGATTCCTGTAAGTCTTTGGGTGGAAGGCAGAGAACTTCTGAAGTGAACCAGGTAACCTGTGTTCTTTATCAGCTTTCAAATCCATCTCCCAGTAAGATGGAGTCTCCCCAGGGGAATGTAGATGTACTTACTGCTTGGAACTTTGTAGTTAATTATATTTGGCTCTCTAATTCTAATAACTTGCATGTGCGCTATGCTTGCTTGCTTATCAATGGCTGACAAAAGCTATAGGAGATCT